CATATATTCATGTCAGATCAGCAAATTAAAGGGTTTGATTGCTGCAATTGCAGAGGTGTTTCCTCAAGCAAAAAGTAGGGTGTGTGCAAGACATGTGGGTGTTTACACTTATCCCTAACACCACTACAACCACCCCACATGAATCTTCTCCCACCACAGTCCCAATGCACCACAGAAGTGTGGGTGTTTACACTTATCCCAAAGGTTTTTAGAGAGTTGCAACTGTATGTACCATCTAAAGCCTTAATGTCTTTTTGGTTATTTGTCCTTAATTGTATAATCTATGTATGTATATGATTTTTTTTTCTGTGTGTCATAGCCTATCAGTCAGCCTATGACGACAACTTCATCAAGAGTTGTAGCATTTTACTCTGACTATGAAGGAGAACAATTCGTATATTCTTTCTCTCATGAATATCCGCTCTCACAATCAAAAACTAGAAAGTGCATCCCAACCACAACAAACAATATCCAGCCAATAATTGCAAGATCAAGCTAGCTAGGGCAAAACAATTGGAGATAAGAAACAAGAATAAACAAGGTAATTTGACTTTTTATTAATACATTGTTAAACCATTATATATTTAATTAACACCATCAATTGTAAATGCAAAATAATTACATAATAACCCCTACTGCTGACAGAAGACATCATGACAAAATTAAAAATTGAAAGACTGATAAATTCAAACAATTCATGTGGTTCATATTACAGTTCCTAATTGATATAATTATATGAGTAGGTACCTGGTATTTGTGTTCCTAATGCACCTGCAACAATTTTATTGAGCATATGAAATTTGGATGATCAACAACAATTTGAAGAACATACATCAATATATAGCGAAATTTCAATTTGTAACAACTATTTTTTTTACTGAATAAATTTTGGATAATTTGCTATACAAATATGTATACATTAAATGCAAATCCCTAAATTATTTATTGATTTAGTTTGTCAACATTTTTTTTCATGTAATCATAAACATTTTTTTAAGAAAGTCCCTAAACTATTGATGAATAAGCAGAAAAAGTCCCTAAACTATTGCTAAGTATGCATTGCAAGTCTCAAACTATTGATGACTAGGCAAAGTCTCTAAACTATTTGGACGAAAATTGTACTCCTTGGTGGTTAAGATAAAAGAGACCAAATTGCTTGACTCAATAGCCAAGGGACGTTTTAGGAAACTAAGCTTCCCGAAGAAAATAATTACAAATTTGGTTGCGTGGCAAAAGTATTTACAAAAATAAGCTTCTGAGGTAAACCGCTGCCTCGGGCAGCGTTTTACCCTCTATTTTTAAAAAAAAAAAAATTCTGCTACAAAAACGCTGCCCCAGGCAGCGTTTTTATAGTTTGACTTTTTTTTTTCCTCGTTTATTTTTTTTTAAAAATTAATTAAAAAAAAGGCAACAGCATAAAACGCTGCCCCAGGCAGCGTCTTATCTTGTTAATGAAACGCTGCCCCAGGCAGCGTTTCTGTCTGGTTGTAAAACCAGAAACTCGAGCTTCGTTTTCAATCACGTTTGCTCTTCATTCCTTCGCCTCCTTCGCAATCCTCTTCCTTCCCTTCCCAAATTTCCTCTTCAATCCTCTTCAACCCAATTTCGTATTACATCCAATTCAAGGTATGGTTAAATATCAGTTGAGTATTTACAAATTGTTCGTTATGTTTGTTGAATTCTTGAATTGTTGGTTAGTGTTGTTGAATTATTGAATTGTTGGATGTTGTTGTTGAATTGTTGGTTAGTGTTGTTGAATTCATGAATTGTTGGTTAGTGTTGTTGAATTGTTGGTTAGTGTTGTTGAATTATTGGTTATTGTTGGATTTCTTGAATTGTTGAATTTCTAGGGTTTATGTTGAATTTTGGGGGTTTTTGTTGAATTTAGGGGTTTAGGGTTGAGTTGATGAATTGTGATTGTTAAATATTAATTTGGATAATGTAGAATTGTTGGTGTTGAAATATTGAAGATGTTAAGTATTTGAATTTCTAGAATTATTGCTTGTTAATGGTGACCTAGTGATGCTTAGTTGTTCCAAAGTGGTTAGTTGGATGTGATTTAGAGATGGATTAGTGTGTTTTAGTGTAATGTGTTTTGGTTGTTGTGTAGAATATGGCCGCACAGAATGTAGTTTTGTTGTGCCGGTGGGGAGGTGAATTTTTGTTTGACGGACCTCGTGTCGAGTATAATGGTGGAAATATGGAACCACTGACACTTGAACCGAACATGACCTTCAGTGATTTCATGAACGAGGTTCATAGTAGCGTTAGTTCAAACCCGGGGAGTGTTGAACTAAACATTAAAATGAGGTTTGAGACCGGGAATGGGGTTCAAGTGTTACCTGCGTCCTCGAATAAGCATTTGAAAGCTTTAAGGAGCGTTGTAGCGTTGAAGGGTGTTCCCACCGAGATTTATGTGGAGATGGTGCCTATTTGTACCCAACAAAGTACCAGGGCAGAACCACATTCTACATTTATTTCCGGTAACAACACACAGCCGCAAGTGCCCTCACACGACACTCCCCCGGCTGAATATGGGATGGGATCTTTTAGTCGAATGTTGAACGACGATCAATTTCACATGCCGTTCAGCTCTCACATAGCTTCACCTGTACATGGGGCGACGTATACAGCAATGGTCGGGCAACCTGGGTCTTCGACATCAAACATCGGTAACATTTACTTCCTATGCCAACATACTTAAGAATGCTCCTTGAAATTATCGTTTTACACTTACGTTTATGTATTTCATTTGCAGGTTGATCCCGCGAAGCCGCTTGTTTGCAGGCACCACACAGCCAGAGTAATGGTGGGGTGGGCCGTCGAGGCACGCGTCCTAGAGTACATCGAGCTCGCTGGTTTTGGAGGAATTCACCGGATGGCCTTCAGGGCCATCGACCGAGCGCTTGTGACTGCGCTCGCGGAGAGGTGGAGACAAGAGACCCACTCCTTCCACCTTCCTGTAGGGGAGGCGACTGTGACCCTGCGTGACGTCGCGATACTTACACGGCTTCCTATACACGGGACTCCAGTGATAGGACGCCCGTTAGTCGATCCTATAGGACTTGTAGTTCGAGTTCTTGGGGTTCAGCCTGCTCCCGAAGATATCCTGGGAACTGGGTTGAGGATAGGTTGGCTACGAGAGACCTTTGGCGAGCTTCATCACGGTGCTGATGACGCCGCCGTTCAGAGACACGCCCGAGCTTACTTGTTCTTCTTGGTCGCTGGCGTGTTGTTCGACAACAAGAGCGGTAGCCACCTCCAGCTCCTACACCTGCAATTGTTAGACAACGACTGGGACCATATCCGTTCGTACAGCTGGGGTAGTGCTTGTTTGGCGATACTGTATCGCCATCTATGCCGAGCGTCCCACCGTGGTGCAATCGAGATCGGAGGTCCTTTGGTCGTCCTTCAGGTAACTCACCAATTAGTGTAATAGTTTAATAGATGAATAGTAAACACTTACGTTTTAATTCGTGTAACAGTTCTGGTCTTGGGAGCATCTCCACGTCGGGCGGCCAGGTAGGCCAATCAGGCATCGACCGGGGGAGCTGGATCAAGACGAGCAGTACCAGGCGTACGACGCTCCCCCTCTCCCTACACCTGACGAGGCATACGGATGCAGGTGGGTTGCCCCTAGACTCACACTTTCCCATGCGGCGAGGAGTCTACCGTACTTCCGAGACAGAGTAGTTGTGGAGGTGATTTTACGACGCCGACATTCTCAGAGGACTACACCTTCCACAGCACTGCGCCGTCCGGCTCCCAGGAGGTGCCAGATACCAGCCAGCTGACTCCCCCGCCGCCTCTAGACCCATTCACCACCATTACTCATTACAGGCGGCGGCGTGTCAGACAGAGGGCCGAGCAACCTGACCTAGATCAATTTCCCCGGATAGATGAATCGGGATAGTGTTAGCTTAGTTATTTCATGTAGTAAATTTTTTGTATAGATTAGGTATATAACATTTACATTTCTAATATAATAAATGTTTTTCGGTCAACATTTGTGTGTTATGTTCTTTGTTTCCCAATATGTTTTGATTTATGTATATATTGACTTGTCAACGGTGGTGGTGGAAGGTAGTGGTGTGAGGTGGAAGGTTGTTGGAGGTGGTGGTGGTGGAAGGTTGTTGGAGGTGGTGGTGGACGGTTGTTGGAAGGTGGTTGTGGTGGTGGGAGGTCGGGGTGGAAGGTGGTGGACGGCGGTGGAGGAAGGTGGTGGAAGGCGGTGGAAGCCGGTGGAAGGCGGTGGTGGAAGGTGATGGTTGGAGGTGGTGGTGGAAGGTGGTGGTTGGAGGTGGTGGAAGGCGGTGGTGGTGGAAGGCGGTGGTGGTGGAAGGTGGAAGGTGGTGGAGGTGATGGTTGGAGGTGGTGGAGGGCGGTGGTGGAAAGGGGTTGGAGGTGGTGGAAGGTGGTGGTGGTGGTGGAAGGCGGTGGTGGTGGAGGGCGGTAGTGGAAAGGGGTTGGAGGTGGTGGAAGGAGGTTGGGGGTGGTGTTGGAAGGATGTTGAGGGTTGGGGCAAGAAACTGGTTTGGTGCTGCCAACCAGGTAAAACGCTGCCTAGGGCAGCGTTTTACCTGTAAACATATACAGATAAAACGCTGCCCCAGGCAGCGTCTTTTGTTCAAGCATAAGACGCTGCCTGGGGCAGCGTCTTATGTTTAAGCATAAGACGCTGCCTGGGGCAGCGTTTTATGCTGTTGCCTTTTTTTTTAATTAATTTAAAAAAAAAAATAAACGAGGAAAAAAAAAAGTCAAACTATAAAAACGCTGCCTGGGGCAGCGTTTTTGTAGCAGAATTTTTTTTTTTAAAAATAGAAAGTAAAACGCTGCCCGAGGCAGCGGTTTACCCCAGAAGCTTATTTTTGTAAATACTTTTGCCACGCAACCATTTTTGTAATTACTTTCGTAACGAAGCTTAGTTTCCTAAAACGTCCATAGCCAAGGGACTAAAATGTTACAAATAAGGGACCATATTTCACAATAAGAAATAATGTTGTGTATGATATAACCGTATAGCCGTGTTGGTATTATTCCGAGAAAGTTAGCATCTTCCAGCAATTTTCCCTCCTCTTCTCCTACCCTCTCTCTTCACCCTCCCCTTCTTCAAGAAACACCCAACACTCTTTATTGTTACAACACCTCCTAAACAACAACAAACAATTGAATTACATTACGTCTCAATCCAATTACTATTTTAATCAAATTCTGTGATGCTTCGTATCTTCCTCCACAATATCCGCCATCGTCGATATCCCTTCTACATTCGCCACCGCCGATTTTCCTCCTCCACCCCGCCCTCCTCGTCTCAGTCATCATCTCCGTCGTCGAATTCCAACCCGAATCATTCGCCGATCAAATATGTCAATTCCACCTCCACTCTCTCTCCTCTCTCCGCAACCACCACCGCCTCCTCCGTCTCCCGCACCACCCTCTCCCTCTCTCTCCTCTCCATCCTCGCCGTAACTGGAACAACATATCTATATTATTCCTCCGAACACGAAGGCGGAGGCGATAACATTCGCAAAATCACCTCCGCAATCGAGGCAGCATTCCACCGATCCACCGAGTCGACTCACCGGATCATCAATCAAATGAAGCATACTGGTGCAGCTGCTGCCGTGCTATGGCAGTCTCTTCAGTCGGTTCTTTCGTCTGCCAATTACGAGGTTCGGTCCGGTTTTGAGTTTAGGGTTGCGGCGTTCTTGGCAGACATTGCTGCTGCTAATGCTGCTAGAAGGTCCGCCATTGTTGCTGCTGGTGGTGGTAGGGTTGTTGATTGGCTACTCGAGACGGTTGCCGGTGATGTTAGTGGGACTCAAGCTGAGGCTGCTAGAGCTTTGGCTTACTTGATTGCTGATCCTCTTGTTAGGCCTCAGGTTTTTGGGAGGCCTCATTCTGTTCCTTATCTTTTGAGGTTCATTTCTTCTTCTCAGCCTCAGCGCTCCAAGAAGGTTAGCATCCCTTTTCGTGTTTTGTTTTGATTAAGTTTTGTTTTTGTTTCGAATTTCAAAATTACTGAGCTTGGTTTGGTGCAAGTTTGGTTGAATTTGAATTTTCGAGGTTCGATTAATTCATATGAGTATACTGTATATTGGCAATGTGTTGTGATCAATTACAAACGAATGGTAGGAATTTCCAATCAAAACCAATGAGAATGATTTTCGAGTTTGAGTGATGCTTATGAGTAAAACTTTGTCACATTGCTTGACATGAGCCACAATGATTGAGAGTAGTACTAGGATGGGTGACCTCCTGGGAAGTCCTCATGTTGGTTCATGTAGCCGACCCACTTATGCGATTAAGGCGTTCAAGCAGAAGGGAAGAAGAGTGATGCTTATGAGTATACTATACATAGGTGATGTGATTTGACCAATTAGAAACTGATTGTAGGATTTATTTACCAGAACCTATATGAAGGACTTCTGAGTTTGAGTAATGCATATGACTGATATGAGTATATTATACCTTGGTGTTGTGGTTCCACCAACTAGAAATGAATAAAGGTTTTCCTACAAGAACCCAGATGAAGGATTTTTGAGGTCATTGATGTTATCACTTATGGTTCCACCAATTACAAACGACAAATCGTTGGGTTTTCCTGTGATTATCTGTGTTTGAAATTTTCAAGGCTGGATTATGCATGAGTGTAATTTAATATTTGTGATGTGGTTCCACCACTTTCAAACTAATGAATGGAACTAGGGGATTTTTCATCAGAATCAATTTGAAATTTTTTCAAGGTTTGTATAATGCATATGAATATACTTTACAGTGTTGATGTGGTTCCACAAATTACAAACAATGAATCACAGGATTTGTTATGTAGAACAAACTGGTACTATTTGAAATTACAGTAGGTAAAACCGAGCTCTTCTTTCATGTGTGGGTTATGGTGGAATTAAGCCATCACTTTGATTAGTTTATAGACATTATAGAGCATAATAGATTCTGTATTAGTTAGTGATTGTTTTTATTTGAATGGTATGATATGCAGGCCCTCTTTCTTGATATAAGACACTGGGATAAATTGATTGTCTGCTTTATGATAAAAATATTCATTCTTCAATTTATCATGATGCATCGATAGTTACTTTGGGACACTGTTTTAAGTGTCATAAGTTCATCTTTGACCTACCGCTTTTGTTGATTAAATGTCACATTTTAGTTATGAAATTCAAAAATATTTCTTTTTGAATGTTAGTTCTCATTTTGAACTATGTGGTTGCCAAATTGATTGTGAATGGAATCTTATACAGCTTTAAGGGATTTGTTTGGTAAAATAGCAAATTTAGAGTCCGTATGGAAGGCAGTAAATGAATCATATGGGAATGGGTATATGTAACTTGGTTAGGAAAGTCTCATGTTAATGGCCTTTGTATTGGAGCCCCATCCCACATATGTTTATTTATTTATAAATTTTCTTTGACCACTTGGTACCACCTCTGAAGTGATGATGGATATCTATGCAGTAAGTTAAATGTTTAGCATTGGACTAGCATTACCATGGGCATGGGACTTTCTTACAAAATTTGTATATTTGTACGATGACCACCTTTAATAACAACTTACATTTGGCAAACTCAATTTCACAAATGAAGGTAGCTGATGATTTGGTCAACAGTATCCTTTTTTCGTACTACAATTGCTCACCTCTTTTTGGAGTTTGATTTCTTTTATATCTATACCTTTCAAGGTGATTTTCTAAAATGACCTCTATGACCAGTGATAACTGATAAGAGAGCATGGAAGGCAGTAATTTTGAGAAGTTTAGCATTTTAAATGACTTGTTTGATTTCGACTGTGGAATTGTGCTTTTATCGTGTGGATCTTGGTTTTGTGACATCTTACAATCGATGTTGATTTTTGGATGCATCTGAGTTTATGTTTTGTAAAAACATTAACTTTCATTGGAACAGAATTCAAGAATTTCTGATTCTGTGAAAGGGAGGAGCATGCTTGTTGCAGCAATAATGGATGTTGTGACTTCCACTTGTGACAGCAAGGGCAATGTCCGATTCCAGCCATGCCTTCCTGCAAATGCTGAGATGAGGGACATTGCATCAGCGATTCAAGTAATTGAAGGTGGTTTTTTGGATGATCCAAATGCTGAAGATGATGATGATGGTGGGAATGGATTGAAGGGAATTGGTATCAAGGTTCTAGGAGGGACAACTGTATTAGGACTTTCAAGATCTAATGGGCATATGAGTTATGATGATAGTGATAGTGTAACAACCAATAAATACGCTTCAAAAAACCATGTTTACCAGAAAAGGCATGATAGCTACCTTGGAGATGCGAGCTTGTCATCTTCTGTAGTGCCTGGTCTCTGGGATGATTTACATACTCAGCATGTAGCTGTGCCATTTGCTGCATGGGCACTGGCCAATTGGGCTATGGCATCAGAGGTTAACAGATTTCATATTCAAGAATTAGATCAGGATGGAAATGCTATCATGACTGCCTTAGCAGCTCCTGAAAGATCAGTGAAGTGGCATGGGAGTTTGGTTGCTCAATTGCTTTTAGAGGACAACAATGTTATGTTAAGTAATTCTGTTTCAGACTGGAGTTCTTGTCTGCTTTCAACTATATCACAAGCTTGTAAAACTGATGACATACCTCTGGCACTGGTAGCTTTGTCTGCATTTTTGCTTTCTGTTGATAAGAGTTCGGGAGCCAAAAAGGTTGTTATGGAGAAAGGTCTTGATTTGATGAGAGACACTGCTAAACAAACAATTCACCATAAGGATATTCAAGAAGCTCTGGCAAGAGCATTAGAACTAATATGTACCAGTGAAAATCGTTTATCTCTTGAAGAAAGTCGTAAGTGGTCAGGTATCCTTCTTCCCTGGGCTTGCGGAAAATTTTCTTCTGAAAAGACACGAAATTCGGCAACTAAAATCCTTTCATGCATTCTTGAGGATTTTGGGCCGTCTTCTATCCCGATTTCTCAAGGATGGTTAACTATTCTAATAAATGAAGTTTTGGACTCTACTAAGGCATCATCAGTTAAAGGAGCCTCCCAGCCGAAAAGCGACAAAGTGAAGGTTAGGATGTGCATTTATAGTTGTATGTTCTATTATAAATTTCTGTAGTTTATTCTTCACCTCTGTTTTGGATTCCAATATTTGATTGGAATTGTTTTTATCGAATATTGTTCATACACTATGCTATCTTACATTTGCAGACTCAAATTGATCAGTCAAATATTCAATCTGGTATACTAATTGCCAGTCAGCTTGCAAATTCTGTTGTTAATCTAGCTGGAAAACAATTGGGTATTGCCGCAGATCGCGGTGACTCATTCCCCATAGCTGACCTCCTGTCTCAAGAACCTTTCGCTGGAGCATTTAAAAGCTTAAATAAAGATCGGAATCCTAAATGTGATGCTGCTGACTCAGCAGTTGCAACCCTGAAGGGAATCAAAGTACTAACTGAAATTTGTGCAGATGATCTTGTTAATAAAAACAAAATTGTAGATTCTGGGGTCTTGTGTTTGTTGAGGCGCTTTTTGCTAAGAGATGATTATGAAAGCCTTGCTGCTATTGAAGCGTATGATGCATCAAGAGCTGGGGAGGGACCAGACCAGGCTAGTAAGGTCCTAGATGAGTCAAAGGCAGATACTAATGGTCAATCAAAGGTCCGAATCCCACCATCTACTCACATCCGGAGGCATGCAGGTAGACTACTAACTGTTCTTTCAGCATTGCCAAAAGTTCAAAAAGTTATTATAGCGGATGCAACTTGGTGTAATTGGCTTGAAGAGTGTGCTAATGGAAAGATTCCTGGATGCGATGATCCTAAGATTCAAAGTTATGCCAGAGCTACTTTGTTAAATGTGCTTTGCCATGAAAAACGGGACTCGGACACTGGAAGGAGTGGTGGTACTGGTACTGGTACTGGTTTTGTGAATGATAGTCCTGTAACTTGTGTTCAGCCCCGCTATGAGGACATGATATATCTAATCAATCCTGAATCACAGCACTGGAAATGTCATGACAGACCTGTATCTCAGAATTCAAATGAACACTCTGGTGGTGATAATGACATCAATTTATCTAGATCCACAGAGGGGCATGAGAATTGTTCAGATGTAGAAAACCCTGCAGTAGACATTATTTTTGTTCATGGTCTACGTGGTGGGCCTTTTAAAAGTTGGCGCATATCTGAAGACAAGTCATCAACCAAATCAGGCCTTGTAGAGAAGATTGATCAGGAAGCAGGGAAACAAGGAACCTTTTGGCCAGGTGAATGGCTCTCAGCTGATTTTCCTCATGCTCGTTTGTTTACACTTAGATACAAGGTTTGTTTAGAATCAAAGTCCCTTGTGCCTTTTTGCTTGGGGTTGTTGATGTCCAAAACTTATATAATAACTAATAATAGCACTTGAATTTTGGATACATTTCCTTTTGTAAAAAAATAGGATCATGATAGTCTAATTTTAGTGTACCTATACAGTTTCCTTTTTTGTTTTGGGAATCATGAGTTTGAAATTGTACCCGGATAAATGTTGCAGACAAATCTTACTCAGTGGTCTGGAGCTAGCCTTCCTCTTCAGGTGTGCATCATTTTGCCATATATTTTTGACAGCATTCTATGTTCTTGTTTTGTGTGGTGTAATTATCCAAATGTTACATGATCGAAATTTTTCAATCATTTTTATATCTTGGCTGAAGTGTGTTAGGCTCAATCTAGGGATTCCATAACTCATCTTGTGAACGGTAACAAGTATAAAACCATCCCTAAGTGAAAAATGAGAAAATTAAGTAAAAATTATGTGATTGGATGAATATAATTACTTTTTGGGAATCATGGTTGAATCACATCATTCCCATAATTAATATACTAACACATGTAATGTTTGTTAGCAGAGAGGGTTAACCAACAATAGATACATTATGTGGGGGAATTTTAAGGTAGACTAATAAGAGAGAGATACTTTGAGAATCTCAAATACAGGACACGGATACTTTGAGAAATCTCAAACCATCTAATTGTAGATACCCCCCCCCCCTCTTTTTTTTAAACATTTTGTTTGTACTCTCAATGATAACTTTGGTAATGCAAACTAGAGTGCCTGCGGTTATTTATTTAATTTGTGTTTTCATTTTTTTTAAGATGTGGACTAAACTTTATTTTTTCAGTGTACTAATGATTGAGAATTTAGTTCAAGGAAGTTATCAATGAATATCGTTTGGGGTGGGGGTCATCAAATTCAAGGCAAAGATGTTTCTTTATATGTATTTGCTCTCATGTATGTATAAACTAAGGCTTGTCAGAGGAAAAGGGAAAATCTTTTGTTTCTGATCATAAGGGGGGAAAATTGTCTTATGATCGTGGACCTTTTTTGGGCTATGTTGCAATAAATAAACCCCTCTGTTGTGTAATCATTTTAAAATTATACTCCCTCTGTCCCCAATTGATCTACCCTTTTCTCAAATTTCACGGGAATTAAGAAATGGAAGGAGAAAGTAGTAGAAGTACATGGGAAAGCTAAATTCACATGGGAAAGCAAAAAAGTAGAGAGAATTCGAGAAAGTAGTAGACGTACATTCACATGGGAAAGCTAACTTTTGCGCTAATATTTTTGCAAAATTAGGGGTAATTTAGGAAAATTGTCTAATAAAGGCAAGAAAAAATGAGGGTAAAAGGGTAATTTCATGATACCCATAAATGGTAAAAAAAGAAATGGGTACATCATTAGGACCACCTAAAATGGAATAAGTGTAGATAATTTGGGGACGGAGGGAGTAATTAGTTATTTGGTTGTAGAGGTATAGTCTTTTGGTTGTTTTATATCTCTCTCTCTTTTGATTTAATGTATCTTGATGGACTCCCTTGGTTTTACCAAACATAATGGTTGGTGCTTGGTAGGATATAGTCTTTGTCCTGAGAACAGGGTAACAGGTAAAACTTTAAAAATCATGCTAAGGAAGAATGTAAGCTCCTGAACAACTCGCATTTTGGGATACTTTGTTATTTAATTTTTTAGCTGATCTAGTATCTTGCAATAATATTGTTGCCTTTGCATTTGATTTTATGTACAAATTACAGGAGGTCAGCTCAATGCTTTTAGAGAAGCTTGTCGCTGCAGACATTGGCAGTCGACCTATTGTGTTTGTCACACACAGGTTCTTTACCCCCTTCAAAGCACCATTATATCTCTTTTGTCAGGCTTTCTTGAACTTTTTATCAGGAAATTTTTTTTGTGTTTGTTGTTCGTATGTATTAGAGATCTTTTTGATGGTAACTTTTGAATATTTAATGTTTACAGTATGGGCGGGCTGGTAGTGAAGCAGCTGCTATACCAAGCAAAGACAGAAAATTTGGACAATCTTGTTAATAACACCGTTGGAGTTGTATGCCCCTTTCCCTTAAATCTTGTTACAAGCATATTAATTTTATTTAGCATTCTATGATACTTTATTTATCCATGGTGACAGGTGTTCTATAGTTGTCCACATTTTGGCAGCAAACTGGCAGATATGCCCTGGAGGATGGGCCTTGTGCTTCGCCCTGCACCTACGGTCATTTTCCCTTTTATCTCAGTGTGGTATTTTTTTTTCAATATTGTCACATGTTTGTTTTAATCAGTTGTATTGTTATTTTATAGATAGGGGAGCTAAGAAGCGGATCTCCTAAGTTGGTTGAGCTTAATGATTTTATGCGGCAACTTCATAAAAAAGGGTTACTTGAAGTACTTAGCTTTTGTGAGGTAAAGTGTTCTATTTGATTTGTCTGGCTAAGCAGTATGTTGCAACTTTATTCTTGATTGTTGATTGTCCCTTTCAGACCAAGGTGACTCCAATTGTTGAGGGCTATGGAGGATGGGCTTTCCGCATGGAAATAGTTCCAATTGAATCAGCATATCCTGGTTTCGGTGATATTGTGGTAAGTATGGCGCTTTGTTGAGATTGCCTTAGCAGGCGAAGTATTAGAAAGTTAACCCTCATATATTGCCGTCATGCTGGTGTTTATGATGATATACTTCTATGTGATTGTCTGAAAAATTCAGGTTATTTTGATCATATAGCACTTTGGAAGTTTCATTAGCTTACACAAATAATAGTATTACCTCTAAATATTAAATATCTGTGGAGTTAAATTGCTGTGGCCGGGATGTGTCCCCCATTTAAATGAAGGCTGTCTCACTATGATGTGCTCCAGTTTACCTTTTGATCCAATTTAAATGTTTTTTCTCTGCCTGATTGTTTTCATATCTTTGTTAGGTGTTAGAGTCAACTGATCATATTAATTCCTGCAAACCACTCAGTCGTGATGATCCTTCATACACAGAGATATTAGAATTCTTGCGTAAAGTAAAAGCTCAGCATACGTGAATTAAGGAAAGGATAAGTATTACAGTGTTTTGAGCCATTCTGAATAATTCATTTTGTACATAGTTATAGATAGCTCCATGAATCTAAAGCTCAGTAGAAAACTAGAGATGACTGATAACTCATGGTACGTTCTTTGAACCAAGTGAGCTTCTATGAATTTGGCATCTTGGTGAAGGAACATTTACATTTATTGCTAGTAGCCAATGGGTGGCTTACTCTACGAGAAGAATTTTCCGATTGTTGCAGGGCTTTATGCCCACCTTTAGGTTGGAACGCTCATTCTGTTTCCTGTTACATGAGTCTGGTTTCAGATGTGGACAGTTGCCCTTTTATTAGTTGTATGTTGTAGAATCAACAATTAGCATAGGAGTTGTAAATGAATATTTATATACTACGTAGTATGTTACATTTATAAGTCATACTTGTGAATTGTGATTTCATCACCTAATCATATCAATTATCTGCATAGAGTTGCAAAATTTGTGTGATTATTAATGCTTGAAATTCATTATTTATTTCTATTTGTTTTTAATTTGTGTGTGTGTGTAGAGAGAGCTACAAAGGACCCTCAATATTGTATTTTATCATCTTAAGTCTTGAATTGAACCTTGAAAAAAAAGCCTTGGAATTGATTAAATTGTTTTAGAAATGGGTATTAAGGACTTTACTACTATAGGCTTGCAATCTGTAATTCTGAGTTCGAAGTTGTTGAAAATCAAGGTAGAAGAGAGGATTTTATTGGCGGAGAGTCGGGGATAGACAATTAGGGTAGTCGTGCACAACCGAGCCTTAATTAGCTAGAAGTAAAGCGTGCCATACAGCCCATACTGGACTTCACTGCACCTGCAGGGCATGCAACATCAGTATAGCTAGCCGCGGATTGTTTAGCTAGGTTTTTATGGTTTTGTATGGATTTTAGGCTACTTGGACAATTGCACTGCGTCGGATCTAGCAATTCTTTAAATTCTTGAATTGGGTTTGAAATGTGTTTGAATGATATGGAGCTTATTTAAGGCCAATTTGGGTCAATTTGGGAGGCTTGTCCATCTTCACTTTTGTTTCAAGGAAAGGACAAAGATTAAAACCCTTTAATTGTCCATTTTCCTTGGTTAGAAATTGCTACCTAAGCGTGTTTTCTGGTGAATTTTGCCAACAAATGATTCATAATAGATAATGTATTTAGAGCTTTTAATATGTAGCAAAGAAAACCATTTAGATTTAAGTAGACCATGTTTTATTAAATAAATTTCCTTTGATTGAGAAAATTACAAGTAATAAAAGACAATAATATCAACAACAATATAAGCAGCAACATTTATTTCTTCTGTATATAAAAAATAACATATGGTATCAAACCAAAAAAAAAAAAAAAGAAAAGAAAAGGTGATAATGAAAAAACTGAGATGCAACTGATGTTTTCATCCGGCAAGATTTGATTTACTTGACTAGGATGTTTCGGCTTGTCCAGTTTGGGCATGGCCGTAATTAGCACGCCCGTTCCCCTGAGGTGATCTTATGTAACGTAGCCGCCTCTCCTTCGACAACACCTCTGCAAGCCTACATGAATTACAAAATAAATTACTCAATACATCTCAAATTATAAAATTGCTCGAGTAAATTGGACCATTTGAATTAAGTACGGATGCACGGAGAGTAGTATATATTTTGACAACAGGAAAGAGTTATAAATATAAGCACGTGAATAGTAAATGTAAAGACCATTATTATGGAATGGACTACATAATATATATTTTATTGTAAGATTGAAGTGACTAACCTTTTGAGAATTTCCTCATTAGTATGACGACTAATAGGCTCACTTACACCAGTAGCCAAATTCACATTTGAAACAGGTTTTTTCAGCAACTCTTCCCCAGCTTTCACTAGGTTACCCAAATTTTCCTTAGTTGAAATATCAACAGATGATATTTCCCCCATCAATGTATCATCCTACAAGTTACAAAATATATAATTCCATAAATTATTACAAAATACAAGTATATTTGCAACGTTTTGACATAAAATGTACGTAGAAAGTGTCTAATAGTTACAAATAATATAAAACAAAGGCTGTAGATAACATTAGGAAAGCCTAATCACGAGAGGAAAAATAGAAAATTAAACTCGAAATAAAATACCTGGATCCTGATATAATTTTTCTCACAATGAAGAGCTTTAAAGATAGTGTTAAGATGAAGATCCACCATGTCACCACTAGCTTGCATAAACACGTCAATTAAAGGGCAGGACCCTCCAGATGTAAGCCAACTCAGCATACCCCATTTTGCGGCTGAGTCAGCATCATACTTCTCATCACATTTGGTTGTACCAGTTCCTAAGGATAATACTAAATATCTATTATAATCTGATGGTTTTATAGGGTAGAAATCTGGGCTACCAGTATATATCTCATTTGATACTTCGTTTATTGCTGCCAATGCCTATAAATATTACACAAAAACGCAAAGTTTAGATTAGGAAAGTTTGGAGTTGATAAGTTTAGATCAGATAAGATAAGCCAAGTAGTAATATACAATTACCGGATTGTTGGCAGCGACACCACCATCAATAAGATTGTATTCTCGGATTTCACCACTATGTCCTTCATACTTGAAATAATGGGCTGGAAGATAAGTTGGTGCAGCTGAAGTGCCTATGCATATATCCGAGAGTAACACATCTAAGCTTGGAGTCCTTTTCACCTGAAATTAAATACGTGGTGAATCAATTTTGTTATTCATATTCCTATTTATATTGTGTTAATCAATTTTGCCTGAAATTAAATACATGTTGAATTGAAGTAAAAATAAATCGGTTTTTTCACCGTATACCCCTGACTTATTTTATTATTCACCATATACGCTTGAAAATTTTCAAATTCACCATATACCCCTAAATTGTTACAAAAATTCACCATATACTCCTAATGACAACAAGATGAGTGAAATTTGATTAATTATGCATTGAAACCACCATAAATCTATCCCCCATCTCCGAAACCACTCCTCTCCTTTCTCTAACCCCCGAAACCACTCCAAATCTCCATAATTATATCCGTATGATTGATTTTGGGGATGAGAAAAGAAAATTTGGGGTGGTTTTGGGGGTAGGAAAAAGGAATGTGGGTGGTTTCAGGGGTAGGGGAATGTATTTAGGGTGATTTTGGGTCATAATGACTGACGAAATTAACAATTATTAGTCATCAAAGGTATATGATGTATTTTTGTAAAAATTCGGGGGTATATGATGAATTTTAAAAAGTTCAAGGGTATAGAGTGAATAGACAAAAAACTTAGGGATATATGGTGAAAAAACCGAAAAATAAATTGGTATTCCAAATTCTCAAAAAAGGCGGGTATACGTTAATTTATTGTAAAATGGGGAAAAGTTATCTTACTAGTATGTAAAGTTACCCTTTATACTACAAAAGTTATTATTTTTTTAATAATAAATTTTATTTTACAAAAAAATTATAATGTATTAGATTAATCATATTAGCCTTTATAATATGTAATCATGAATTTATAAGAAATTATACAAAAATAAAATTCAAACCAACGACAAATTAAAAGTTCCCCTTTAAGGGGTTAAAATTACCCTCAAACTGATCGTTTTACAAAAACCTACACCCGCCTTATACAAGGCTTATTGAATTTGTATATTGAGAATTCACTATACACAAACGTACACTCATTAAGCAGCATGCACGTGTGTGCAAAATGACAAAAATGGAAATTATAAATTCGTGCATGTAATGTTGTTTTTGTAATTTGTGGTTTTGTACCATGTACCCCGTTGATAAAGGGGCTTTCGGTACCTATCGGCATACATAGTAAAAACACTACAAGTATGACCTATTGATTAGAGACCCCCTTCTATCCACGTGAGAGAGGTTTGATTTAATATACACAATATAAAGTATGTGTGACTGTATCTCAATATTTGAATACCATAATTTGATCACCATCCTTATTATGAAGGGCTCTGCATAATTTTATGTACAACGTAATCCAAATGTTAATTTAAACCAACTAAGGCAAGATATGTATAGACCTGATAATCCCGACCTAGATCCGATGACTCAATCCAAATGACCCGACTCATAACCCAAAATTGACCCGACCCGACCCATACCCGACTCGAAATGAAGTTGACCCGATCCTGACCCGACACTCGAACTGACCAGACCCGAAGTTGACCCAACCCGAAATTGACCCAACCCGACCTGAAGTGTTTGACCCGAACAAACCCGATACTTGAAATTGACCCGAACAGACCCTTGTGCCCGAAATGTCCCGAACTAAAATTACTTTATAATTGAACTAAAAATGTCTAGTGTCAAAGATAACTCAAATTGTTCATTTTTAACTGTAGCCAAGCTCATAAACCGAATTGATAGTTCTTATTACAAAGTTTAACAATAACAAAACATAAAATTATTGATTTGAGCTTGATCCAACCTAATTTTGACCCGCTCGAATATGACCTAAACATGCTTGACCCGAAAATGGTTTGACCCGAACATACCCGACCCGAAATTAACCCGACCCGAACTTAACCCGATACCTAACTCGAGTCATACCCGAAACCCAAAATGACCCGACCCGAATATTAACCGACTCGAAATAACCCGACTTGAAATTGACCTGACCCATATCCGACTTCAACGGTGTCAGGTCTAGATATGTATAACTATAATAACGACGATAATAATGTTCCATCACTATCATAATTTTTGTATTTCTCTATTTTGAGAAAAATACAAAGTATGAATATTGACAAGAAATTAATTTGTCGAGAAGATAGAATAATTTATTATCCATCGACTTTCAGTCAATCAATTCAATGAAATTAGGCGTATACTAAGAATAAGTAATCAGTTTGAGTAACGACTAATTACCTCATAACTTGAGAAGATAACCGGCTGCATACGTTTGATGTCAAATGTTGGGACAACAATGTTAGTCAAAGTTTGATGTAGCTTTGTATTTCCTAACTTTTCCTTTGCAATTTCATGCAAATACTTCCCATCATATTTGGGTCCTTCAAGTGACTTCAAAATTTTACTTGCATGACCAAACACAGACCTACACAACATGTTAATTCATTTGTTATATCCGCAACAACGAGTTAAATTGGTTCATTGTCAAGGGCTAGCCTACCTATTTTAATTTTCCCGTAAAAATGACATGTACAAATTATAATATAGTAAGATAATTAAGTTACATTTCTCATAATATATATACGTTTGAAAATTACTTAAATTTTTTATAACTATATAAAAGTCAAACCATTTAAACAGATTATCTTTTTTTGAAGGAATACCCACTTTATACTATTTAAAATTATGTTTCATCTCAATTTTAATTTCTTTGAGTTCAAGATTTTATTTTTTGCTTTGCCATCTTGGAATAAACAATCACATACTACATCAATTTAACGTCCGTCTAATGATATTCCATTAATATTAAGATGCATATACTTCATGCATTGTGTATTATTGAGATATAAAGTAATACTTTAATTAACTTGGTATAAATTGACACCCTCTCGCATCGTCTTTCCTAGGGTTATTAGACAGAGGATTTGAGAAGGTATTAAAATACACCCGAATGTAAGATAAACACCTTAAAATAGGGATCGATGCATACTTCTCTTGAGGGAAAATCCCGGGGCAATGGTCTAAGTAGAATTGCTTGATGTCTTTGGCAGCAAACAAAGGGCGGTTGTTTTCATTTGGTGCAGCCAGCATGGCTGTCACTAGACCTCCTGTGCTGGTTCCTGCCATCACGTCGAAGTAATCCGCTAGCCTCGCATCCTCTCCATCCAATTTCTGCATCAAATCATCATTCACACAAAATTACTTCAATTTATTTTCAAGTCAAAGCACAATTTTATTTAACCTTTGACTATAACAAACTATGGTTTGTTTGTTCAATTCGGTGGTAATAAATGACGGTAGTGAATTATTTTTATTTTTATTTTTTTTGAAAGATGACGGTAATGAACTAATGATTATAAATAAATATAAATAATTTTTTCCTAGCTAAATAAATTATTACTATGGAGTAAATTGTAAATTTAGTTTAATAAATAAAATTAATTTATTACTTTGTGTGTATGAAAAATCAATTTAAGTAGTACTCTAGTCTTGATTAAACGATAAATCATACCACTTGGATTTCCACATATGTTTAGGAGAATTGTTTTTTAAGCCATTTGTTGTGTTATTTGATTGTATATACATATATTAGGTATTCTAATTAAGAGATAATGGAGTATTGTTATTATAATTTTATACAAAAGTTAACGCAAATTTGGTGGGCAATTCAAAAGTGGGAACTTCGTCCCATTATTAAGACGGAACCTTGCTGTTGTCAAAAAAAAAAAAAATATTAAGACGGAACCTTCAAGTAGTGTACAATAAGCTTTTGCCACTAGCTAATGATGATGCTACCCATTTTATTTGCTCTTTTCTTTTTTTTTTTTTTTTTTGAATTAATTTTTGTTCAATCAGTATTACTAAACTAAGCAAAAATTTTAGGGCCAAGCATAAGCTCACGTCGGGAAAAGAGTCTAACCTAATGTTTATATTTTATAGAGTACCATTTTAAAACCAATTAATGATAAGTAGAGTAATTCAAAAACCTTATAAAATAATCATCCTCCGTACTCGATAAGTTGGAGGAAATTCTATTCACATACAAGTTCAGTAGAGTATTTATTATAATTAAAACCAATTGGTAATAGATAGAATAACCCACTATGCTTATAAGTTATAGCCTCGTCATCTTCCCTCTTGCCTGCTCTCCAATGTAGTACAATAGTCCCAACTCACTTACGGTTTATAGCTTAAATAACCACATATATATGAAAAGAAGATCGATTTCAAGTCTAAAATGGGATGTAAGAAACAACAATTATAAAACAAGTTTGGGTTATTTTTTCTTCTAGACACAAACAAAATGAAAGCGTCAGCAATTATTTAGGACTAATTATATTGGGAGTAATAATTGCTTAAACTTGACATAGTACGACTATTAGTGATGAAGAAATCAAAGCTTACATTCTTTTAATAAGATGGCCTAATTAACATATTTAACCCTTATAAATATTCTTAGAAATTTTTTGAAGGGGTGTTAATGAACGAACTCTCTTTAATTAATTAAAATATTATGAGATCCTCTTACGATGAAACTCCTAGTGCATTTTATTAAGATCCATGTCATTTATATTATGCTGGAGCTTGCATTGCATAAAAAATTATCTATTCAATGCAATACATTGATAAATCTCAATACCATATATGCATGATACATGACATACGTACTACTATATGATTAATGCATGGTCACATAAATAGTATTGCATTCTTTACCTGAAGTTCATCTTCTAAGAAGGCTAGAATGGTCCCGGGAATCAGCCCTCGGACTCCACCTCCGTCGATGCTAAGAATAGTGATTAAGTTACCGTAAGTTGGAGCTTGAAGAAGCGAGTTGGCTCTTTCCATGGCTAACAAGAGAGTTTTGTGGTATGTAGTCTGGGGTTAGATTTTGATTCAGGAGTAAAAACAGTTATTTCTTTAGAGGAAAATACTTAACTAATTTTGATTTAGGTAATTATTGACGAGTTTGATAATATTATCGAGACATAAATTGCTATTATTTATAGACCTTACATGTCTAGCAAACTAGACATGTAAACTTGACGTGGTAAAACGAAATACACCAACTAGTTTATAACCAATTTTGAAATTTCAATATAATAACAATACTTTTATGTTGTAGTTAGACGTTAGACTAATCAACGAGGTCTTAATTCTAGTGTAGTGGTGTTGAATGATAAAGTTTAGCTAATTAGTTGGTCATACGAAAACGTGTGACTTCTTTATTGTCAATTGGGAAAAGAACACTTTTGTACTTCTGTAAAGAGGAGAAATCAAATTGCTTCAAGAAAAGGGAGAAAGAAAAATCAATACATTGTACTTCGAGAAAAGTAAAACACACACTATTTTAGAGTTTTTTTTTTTTTTTTTTTTTTTTTTTTTTTTTTTTTTTTTTTTTTTTTTTTTTTTTACCAAATCATGTTCAAGTATTAATTTACAAGTTTAAGTTATGTTACTTGACCGAGGTAATTGATTTGGTCTATCCAAATAAATGAGTACTGGCAAGACATATTCAACGCGATTCATAGAAACTTATCCAATTGGTTTGTGATTTTTTAGTTTAATAGCTAGTGATGTGTATCCCGGATAATGTTCCAAGTTGTTGTCTTCCATGATTTTTTTTGTATATGCGAAAAATTTAAAGTTACGATGTGGTAAATAATTGCATGATATTTGGAATTTTTTTAAAAAATATGATCATTATTGTAAGGAGTAACGTAAAAAAAGTACTAAATATTTTCTTGTTATTACAGTAGATCATTATCATTATTTAGATGATATGTGTAATTATTGGGATGATTTCAATGACAATAAGTCTTGTGTAAGGTGGGTGTATATTAATTTTATTAATGGTAACTTTAACTATTTTTTTTTTGGTAACTTTAACTACTTCAAGGATAACTTTAAATTTATGTCATTGGTTTGAATTTTATTTTAATGTGTAATTTCTTATAGATTTATGATTTCATACTATAAAGGCTAATATGATTAATCTAATACATTATAAGTTTTTTATAAGATAAAATTTATTATTAGAAAAATAATAACTTTTGTAGTATAGAGGCTAAATTTAAATACTTTTATGATAACTTTAACCCGTCTTACAATAAATTAACTTACACCCGCCTTTTTGGAGAATTTGTGTATTGATTACTACTTAGATCATATCCTTTAAGTGTCTTGGATAGATGATGTGATTAATTGGCTAGATGATATCATTCATTGTTTGGATGATATGATTAAATATATGGATAATAAATTTTAGTATGATTAATTGGCTAGATAATATCATTTATTGTTTGGATGATATATATGATTAATTGCTTGTTTGGATGATATATAAGGTTTGGATGATATGATTAGTTGTTTGGATGCTATCTTTAATTATTGGCTAGATAGCATTCCTTGATTGTATGATATGATTAATTGTATGGATGATATCTTTTAATGTCTAGGTTGGATAATATGATTAATCAGTAATATGATATCATTCATTGTTTGGATGATATGATTTACTATTTGGATGATATCTTTTAGTAGTTAGATGATATAATCAACTGTTCAAATGATATCTTTTATTGCATTCAGTAGTTGATATAACGTGTTAACCCATATAATAGACTATAAATCTAAAGCTAAAGCTAAAAAGTATTTACAATGGTTCAGCGGTATTGCAAAAAAATTTCGTGGAATCTCTCACTTTTAGAATTACGATACATACCCACCTCAAGCGAGTAAAAAAAGATATTAGTTTCTTTAAGCCTTATATAAATTGTGTTAAAATAATTGCATATCCACACACCAATTACTTTTATAAGAATTGAACCCTTGATCTTAATAGAGTTAAAACATTAAAAAGTTAACCATTGAACTATGTCTTACTTTGTGTCTTTGATTACAAAGAAAATAACATCATAAATCAATAGAAGTAGAATTGTCTTTTATTGCAAAGAAAATTAACTAATGTCACATGATAAATCAATAGAAGTAGAATTGAATCATGAATTTTATGCACAAATACTATTATAATTAATTAATGAACTAAAAACATAGCCAGATTCAATCCACCATTACATCAATGTTAAATGTGTTTTTTTTTTTTTTTAAAAAAAATAACCAATAAAGTCTTATGATTATGAGAAGTTATTGGCTGTGTGAGACTTGCCTCATGATTTCATGAGACCAACACAAAATAAGAAAAAGTTCAAACTTTAAAAGTGCTAAATTAATTATAATGATATCATCCAACTAATTACTGATATCATCCAACAAATAACTATGGAATTCAACCAATTAATCACATCATCCTAGACAAAAAAGATATCATCCAAGTAATTACCCATATCATCCTAGTAATTACTGATATTGTCCAAACAATTAATCATATCATACAAGTAGTTACTGATATCATCCAAGTAGTTATAAATATTATCTAAACAATTAATAACATGTCATCCAACCAATATAATTAATCATATCATCCAGGCTAGACACTTAAAATGTATTGTGTTTCTTAAAGTGAGAGATTCCATAAGAATTTTTGCAATACTGCTAAACTATTGAATACTTATTAGCTTTAGCTTTAAATTTAGATTTATAATCTATTATATGGGTTATCATGTTTTTTTGTTATTCAATTTAACTGTCAATTATTATTTCTTACAGTGGCGGAGCTCGCATTAACTATAAATGGGTTCAAATGAACTTCATTCGCATGCAAATATTAGATATAAGATTAGTAAATAAAGCATGGCATATTATTTGAAAAATTATATGAAAATTATGTGAAAATTAATAGATTATTCAAAATTGCACATTATGTTTCTCATATTAAATAATTTAATTTAATGTTAAATCATTATTTTATTATCTTTACATGTTTATAACAAATTTTTTTAAAATTAAGTGAGGTTAATTGACCCATTGTTTTGAATTTAGTTCCGTCACTGACTCCGATCTTGAACTTGTTTGTAATTAGAACAACATGCTTTCTATGATTTATAATGCATATTTTGTTGAAAAATACCCATAAAATACACATTTTTAAATTAGAAAAGGGTTTTTCTAAGCTATGCCCTCGAGGTTATTGAGTTTCTAAGGTGTGCTCATACTTTTTCAAAATTAAAAGTCGTGCCCTCCAACTTAAGGTGTAATCAACCGTACCCTTTGACGTTAACACGACGCTAGTAATTGTATAAAAATGGTAAGTAATAAGAAGCAAATGAGAAAAAAGAAGAAAAAATACACCAAGAGCTTGACATATCAATGGTTGCTTTTAGAAGAAAGAAGAAAAAAATATATGAGGAAATGTGGAAAAATACTTAATGTTAATGTAACACCCTAGAAATTCCTTTCCTTTAAAATACCTGTTTTTCCCTTTTTGAAATAGGAAATTCTAAGACAATACCATCATCGTGATAATGGCTAAGGCAATTATCAAAGACACACAACATAAGACTCATTTCAAAAACCCTTTTTAAAACATAAAACTAACTTCAAAGTCAAACCAAACGAAAGTAAATCAAACCAAAGTCAAACAAAGTCAATCTAAAATTTGGAACCATTGTAGGCCCTTTCAAAATCCAAACCAAATAATTAAAATCATTGTGTTAGTCCCACAAGCAAATAAATAATATTCAAAGCAAATAAACACATATCCTCACCGAAACTAAACAAGATTCGCTCTTCACTCATGCCCCAACATGAATATGCCGCATCACCTGAAAACTTCTCTTTACTTTATTTCCACTACTCGCCATTAGAAATGGGTCGTCGTAGGGCCAAGATAAAGACAAGGCCAAACAAACATACAAGCACACAATCAACAATGCTGAGTACATAAGCGTAAACGAAACACACTAACATGCTTACAACCTAGAATCACACAACATACCTTCTTGCCCCTGTTTTCAAGCATACAACATACGACTCATACAACAGACAATTTATTTGTTCATTTAATTGATTACGTAACGAACGGGTTTCCAACCAAATTCCTGCCCCAAATAAATTGAGTTAAACTACTCCGAGAGCTAACCGAGTAGGCATAAGTGTCAGTTGTGAGTGATAGACGTCCTACGCATGATAAAATAAAAGGAAAATACAGTGTCCAATACTCCCAATAGAAGTTATGGTCAAATATAAAGTCACATAACTGCCCTCATATGTTTATACTCAAGGTATATACGTTCCGAGAGTTTTGGTGCGTAACCTCTTTCACTTTATGTTAGTAACATTTTAGACTTGGTGATGACTCTCAATCCACAACACAACCAATCAATACAATTCATTCAAGTAATCAAACATTCCAATTTAATTCTTGAATAATTAGTGATCACAAATAATTTAATGTTGAACCCTTTTTAAACTATCTAGGTGTTAAAACACCTTAAGCGCATAATGCACCGCAAATCCTATCCCTCGGTGTTTAGAACACCTTATATGTACGTAGGCATCAATCCCTCGGTGTTTAGAACACCTTATATGTACGCAGGCATCACAATATAATTTATCACCGTGTACTAAGACACTTAATTGCTCAATTCCCATGCTTATAGCATCAATTAAAATTATATGAACCATAATAATTTTTTTATATATATATTTCAAACCAACTTAAACATGCCTTCAATCATGCCAATAATACGCGTACGTACCTCGAATATGATCTCAAAATCGCCATGACTACACAAAATCACTCACTTGGAAGTCTCCTACCACCCACAAACATCAAAGGACATTATTACCTATTCTTATTAAATTTCCAGCAATATAAACACATTTTAAAACACTTTTAAACCTTCTAAAATATGCTGAAAATTATTTAGAACCACTTAGTTTTATCCTCAATTAATGAGTATTAAAATCCTTTCAAGAAAACCTTAATTTAGCCTCAATATAAAAATTCCAGCAATATAAAAACTTCAAAACTTGTTTTAATTTGATTTAAAAACATCAATTTCAATATTACAAATTAAACCAACCACAATTATTTCCCTTCCATAAACATCAATTTAGAAACCTGGGGTTTAATCAATTTGGGGCTTTTTCATATAAAATCAAATATGAAAATTATATATATTGAACACTATCAAAATCATCATAATTTCATCACAAACATTCAAAATCATAATTAATCAAAGCTTAATTAAAATCAAGGCAAGAATCTTTTTTTTTTTAAACAAACTGGACATGCACACACGAGGGGGGGGGATAACGGGCTGCTGTCGGCTGTGGTGGTGGAAGTCGGCCACCGTGCCTGTGGTGTCGTGAGGGAGAGGGGACAAATTAAGAGAGAGAGAAAATAAGAGGAGAGAGAGAGAGTTTACTTTTGGGTATTCTCCACCTTGGGCAAAGTCTAGATTTGTTCTTAGGTGGATATTTATACTCCCTCTCAAAACCCTCCTACCTTAAATTCCCCTTTTTACCCTAATGATTTCCACTTCCACTCAAAGTAGTCATTTGACTTAATTGAAGTTCCTTTGACTTTATAATTCTTTTATAAATTAAATATGCCCCAAAATTTCTAAATATAAAAATAAAATATTTCCTAAATCATTTTAATAATTAATAAAGGGGTTTTTAATTTAAATACACCTTTTAGAATATTAAAATACCATAAATAATTCATTTTCAATTATTAAAATACGTTATAAAATAATGCTTTAATTTATAAATCGTATAAATATACGGGGTATATACCTTCTCAGTTGGGACACATGAAAAACATCGTGGACCTTACTCAACTCCATAAGTAAGGCCAATCTATAGGCTACTTTGCCTATTCTTTATAGTATCTCATATGGACCAATATACTTTGGGGTAAGTTTCTCTTTCTTTCCAATTCTCATAACACCTTTCATTGGCGACACTTTCAACAACACCTTGTCACCAACTTCAAACTCTTCTTCTCTACGCTTCAAATCCGCGTAGCTCTTTTGACGGTCATGTGCTTCCTGAATCTTAGCTTGAATCTCTTCACTTGCCTGACTGTATCTTCAATCATTTAAGGCCCTAAAATCATTGTTTCAGTTATGTCGTTCTAACACACAGGGCTACGACACTTCCTTTCATACAATGCCTCAAATGGTGCCATACCAATACACTACAACAAAACAAAGCAAAGGTAACAATGGAAAACCTTTTCCTAATATTAAAAAAGTGTTGCCTTGTAGCTAAGACAACACATATGAGGCGTAGTTTATGCCCCCGTTGTCTATTCATAAGGCAACATTTTTTAGTTCAAAGGCAACATTTTTAAAAGGCAAGGTATGATGATACCTAAGGCAACAATTTTACAAAGGAAACAAATTAAAAGTGTTGCCACCTTAGGAGACAATTTAAAATTGTAACCTTATGTCATAATATACAACCACCTTTTCACTTGTTGTAATTGTTAATAATAATAAAAAAGTGATGCCAAATATCTTAAAAGCAACACCTTAAAAGCGATTATATGTAAAATTATAAATTGAATGAATAAAGATGAATCAACATGTGAACTCAACAATAGACAATAATCAATCTAATAGGAAACATGACATCAATATAGAAGAAAATTGATTTTATACAAAAAAAATTCATGTGTACTCATCAAAATCCAAACAACAAAATCCAATAGAATTTCACTATTGGTTAACCGGTGCCCTTAATGCCCCAAAAAAATAAAATTTTACGAAACCTAGTTCGCCGCGCCCGTGGGTCAAACTGTCGCGCCTGTCCAGGAACTCGAGGGAGAATTAAAACCCTGTCCGCGCCATCTCCTCTCGTTGCCGCACCCGCGGGTCCTTGGAGAGGGCTTTCCCTAAGCGTGGGCTGCACTTTAAGCCTTTGAGACCTAAATTTCGAGGATGACACCAAGATGCCACACTATGGCAAGATATCTTTGGAACTGGTTTTATCCCCGCATCTCCTGCAGAAAAGGAAGAAAAAAGCTAAGACATCATGTAATAGAGTAAATCTAGGGCACCGTCCATTAAAGAAAATGCTAACTCTCATCTATATTTTCCTTGCATTCTAAAAATAAGAGCTCCAATGTAAGTGTCAGGATTTACAAACAACTACAACAACTTTTATTTTGAAGCAACTATTCTGTTCAGAATACCTTAAATGACTTAACCAGCAATCTCAGAAAAGAAAACAGTAAGCTACGGAGAACACAAGACTCCAGCATTCCCAACCTACTTTGAATTAGACTGTATCCCATATAGCCATTATTTTATCTGCACCAATTGTAATAAGCTGTGGAGCACTGAGCACCACTAGACACTCTTGATAATTCTACAACAACTCCACCATCGTGTGCCTTAGCACAAAACAATAACAAGTTCAGTAATTACACAATTATATACGAGATGAAACTTTTTAATTGTAGATGACAAATAGAAGATAAAAAAGATCTGGTAATTAAATTGCCATTTACAAACAGGTTAGCTGAAAGAGAACAGAACAACTACCTTTAGGATAAGGTTGGGTACAAGATCTCGTGAATCATGACCAAGCTCAGCACTCCAAAGTATTAGTAAACCATCACTTCCACCAGAGACCAGCAATGCCTACAATCATGTAAAATAGTGGTGGAATCACGCAACAATATTGGCAAGGTAGATCCCAACAGCACAAAGTCAGCCTAGTAAGACAGATTATCCATAGCAAATCAAAGGACTCCATTTTCATCATCGGAATGATCACTAAACTTTGGGTAAATTTGAATAAAAAAAACAGACAAACAAACATGGTATTGATTTTACACAGTGTGATAAGATAGCATTATAGGCATTTTACCTCAAGAAGCATCCGGTATCAAGCAGTAGCAAATGGGGACAACTTTGCATGCTTACCAAAACCTTTAACACCATGTGCTACAAGTTTAATTTCCTGGACAAATGACAAAATTGACATTTGATAAAATTAAACATCAAGACTTCACAAAGGAGTTTGTGAACAAGCATCAACAATTAATAAAGGAAAAACAGAAGCCCACAAGAGGACAAGAATCACTCAATTGACAAACTGCCATCTTTAATTTAACTACCTAAGTTTAGTAACAAGCTGCTACACTCAATGGATTAAGTTACATGGATTAAGTTACCAACAAATACAGAAAGCAAGAGGTATGAAAGCTACCTGGCCCACTCCTAGATAAAGTGATATCAGGATACTTAGGATGAATTGGATTTTCTGATAATTCAAGTAGCCCATCCTAGCTTGACTTGAAATTAGTAGAAGTTTTAGGTGCCGTAGTTGAACTTGAACTCGGGTTGCCTCCGAAAAAGCGCTTCTTTATGAGGTCCCTATCTTGACCATGAGAAATTATCATCAAAGGGGTGGCTTATAATTAAATCCTATCAACAAAATTCAAGACTCGTGAATCCAGAGTATATAGTATCACCAATACTCTACTTACATAGTTACATCAAAGTTATACGATCTTGATCCAAAGTCTAAGAACTCAGGAAATGCCAATAAACTACACTACCTATATGATCCCTCTCTTACAGTCCCAAGTAAAAGCACCGATTCAACTCACAATAAGTGTTTAATATCCGGGTATTATACCATCATAACTCAATTGTACCTATGAAACTGCGAATAGCTCATCAAGAGAATTAATAGAATATGTACAAGGAACAACTACTAGATCTCAGATTCAACAAATCAGTTGTCTCTAATAAACTTAAGAAACTTGTGATACTATATACTCACCACCGAAACAACCCAACAACAACGAAACCACCACCGCAACCACCACACCCACCACCGCACCCACGATACCACCACCACACCCAAGAACCCACCACCACTAGCACCGACCACCATCACCATAATCACAAAAAAAAAAAAAAAAAAAATCAGAAATCCTATCATCTCACATTCTCACCATTAAATTCAATCAAAATTTCAATTAAAAATAATGCATAATGCCTCACTCTTACGGGAATGTCCCTTAATACTTGAAGTTGATATTCACCAATCACCACTATTTCCCTTTGCAATATTATCCATTGCCACATTCCTCTCACATGATAGCTACAGAGCTAATTTGACCGGCCAATTAAATCAATTTCAAAGCACCATTTTCATTAAAGAAAACCAATTAATACAAAGTATCTGTACTAGTAACATTACCACCTAATACGTTTCGGATTTGATATCAGACTCTAAAAATTAAGCTAGTTGTCGATAGTTAGTGGAACAAGTATTACGAAGATAACATATTTCCATCTAAACCATACTAAAGTAACCATACTAGTAACACTACAACCATCTAACCTAATCGGCATAATCTCTTAATGCAGCCACAAATCTGTAGTATATTTAATTTCTCTAAAGCATTAGTAACTCTAACTATGTTTTTGTATTGTTCATCTTCCAAAACAATTTAATAATTACAAAGGATACATTGAATTATACCTTATTTAACTTCTCAATGTATCAGCTCGCTGCGGCACCCATCCTTAGATAGCCTCCCCTACAACGGCGACAAGCCAAGTAGGCCACCCAGCAGCAACCTGCTCTCCTTCTACAGACAATGATTTCGGAATCAGCCCCACCCAACCAGACTTAGAAATTGTCTCCTCTTTCTTTTTCTGACGGTCTTTTGCAACTTTTTCTCTGATTTGTTGAAGCGCTGAGAAATTCCCTTTGATCACACTGAAAATCAAGCCCAAATTTTACAAATTAGGAAATATTTTCTTAAATTAACCACATATTTTGTCAAGCCCTAGAATACCAATAAAGCTAGAGGAGAGAAAAAAACGAGAATTGCAGAAGTAAAAGCTCCAAAAAAACCCTAGAATACCAAGCTAGAGGAGATAGAACAGGAAATGCAAGAGTATTTGTCGCCAGCTGTGGTGGTGTATATGTTGCGGCAGTGCGTCTACACCTCCATCTTTGAGGAGAGAGAGAATGAGGAAGAAGAACGAATCAGGTAACTGAATAGCTATTGTGAAGATCGTAGTAGCAGAAATTCTTCCGCCCTTTTTCTTTCTTTTTAATTTTTCCGCCCTATTATTTTTTTTTCATTTTCCCTCCCTTTTAGAGCTTGTATCCAGATTGTTATATGGATCAGGTCATCGGGACTTGTCAATTCAAAATATCGGGTTAGATTTAGGTCGAATTTTGGGTCATTTGATTCAAATGGTTTTGATTATTTGGGTTAGTAAAAAATATGATAAGTGGGTCAAATTGGGTCAATTTTGGATCGTTTAGGTCGGGCCGAGTCGGGTCCGGGTTCGTTCTCAAAAACTCGAGTTTGAAATCGGGTCGGGTTGGGAATCGGGTCGGGTTGGGAATCGGGTAATTATTTAGTTATAATTTTAACAATCCATTTTCATTTTTTTTTCATCTAAGATTTTTTAATTTATTTTTGTAATTGTCATTAGTTTAATATTTAATAAGATAAAATCCTAAAAATCATAACATAATTTTTTTATTTAATTTAACATCATGAATTATTTAATAATTAGATAACCCAAAAGTAATTAAATTAATTAACACATGAGGTGATTGTTGTTTTTAATGCTCTATAGCAACACTTTTATAGTTGTTGCATAGGAATCTAGTATTGTTATTTTGGTTCAAAGTAACATTTTAAAATCGTTGCCTTAGGTTATCAAGGGTAACAATTTTATTAGTGTTGCAATTTTAGGTGTTGTCTATTCTCATTATTTTTGTAGTGATACTAGTGCGGTAGCTATTGTTGTAAGAAAACTTAATTAAATCCAAGCTATCTTCCCATCCACCTTGGAAATCTATAACACATGCTCTTAACATATCCTCCAAGGTTTGAAATGTTCTCTTAGTTTGCACATTTGTGGCAGGATAAAATGATATACTCATCTTTAGTGTCGTACCAAAGTTTTCTTGAACACTTTTCCAGAACTATGAAAGAAACCTAGAGTCTCTATTAGACACAATATCCTTTGGAACTCCATGTAACCTCACAACGTTTTTTATGTAAGCTTTTGCAAGTTGCTCCATCTTCTAGGTCTCCTTCATTGGTATAAACACTGCGGATTTGGTAAGTTTATCCACTACAACCCAAATGGTATCATTCCCACTCTTCGACTTTGGGAGGCAAGTAACAAAATCCATTGAAATAATATCCCATTTCCATCCCAGAACATCTAATGGTTGCACGGTTCCTTGTGGTCTCTTGTGTTCGATCTTTACTTTCTGACAGGTTAAACACTTCGCCACAAATTCTACAACTTCATTTTTCATCCTAGGCCACCAATACACCTTTTTTAAGTCCTTATACAACTTGTCTCCTCTAGGATGCATTGAATAAGGTGTATTGTGCCCTTCTTCCATCAACTTCCTCTTTATTTCATCGCACTTTTGAGAGACACACCATCTACCTTTGTACCTTAAGCTTCCATCCTCACGAATCTTGAAATCTGTAGCCTGTTTCCGCTCGATTTTCTCACGAATCCTGTCCAACTTAACATCTCCTGCTTGATTCTCTCTTATCTCATCAAATATCGTTGGTTGGATACTCAGATTTGCAAGCATCCCTTCCACCGCCCCTATTTCCACTACTTCTAAGTTCATTTTACTCATTTCCCTGCACAATTCGTCGGCCACTACCAAAGTATTCACTCCATGGCTTGATTTTTGACCTAGAGCATCGACAACTACGTTTGCTTTTCCCTCATGGTACTGGATATCTACTTCGTAGTCCTTGACAAACTCCATCCACCTTATTTGGCGCAAGTTCAAATCTCTCTGAGTGAAAATGTATTTAAACTCTTATGATCCGTGTAAATCCTACACTTCACTCCATACAAGTAATGCCTCCAAATCTTCAATGCAAAGATAATTGCAGCTAACTCCAAGTCATGGGTAGGGTAATTTGCCTCGTGAGGTTTCAAATGTCTCGACGCATACGCAATTACCTTACCATTTTGCATAAGCACGCATTCTAAACCATTTTTGGATGCGTCACTATACATATCATAGACACCATTATTATCTGGTAATGCCAACACTGGTGCAGTAGTCAGCTTTTCCTTCAAGAGTTGGAATGCCTCTTCACACTTCTCATTCCACTCAAACTTATAGTCTTTCTTCATCAAGGAAGTCATAGGCTTAGCAATGTTAGAAATTAAAAGTCCTTCACAAAACACCTATAATATCTTGACAAACCTAAGAAACTCCTGACATCAGACATTGTCTTTGGCGTAGGCCATCCTTTTACTGCTTTAATCTTTACTATATCTACTTCTACTCCATCCTTGGATAAAAAGTGACCCAGAAATGCTACCTTTTCTAACCAAAACTCACACTTGGAAAACTTGCATATAGCTTATTTTCCCTTAAGGTTTGTAAGATTGCCCTCAAATGTTCCACATGTTCCTCCTTATTATTCTAATACACCAGTATATTATCTATGAACACTACGACAAACTTGTCCGTAAATGGATGGAACACCCTGTTCATCAAGTCCATAAAGATTGCTGGAGCATTCGTCAACCCAAATGGCATCACTGTGAACTTGTAATGCCCATACCTTGTCCTAAATGTTGTCTCAGGGATATCTTCATACGCAATTCTCAACTGATGGTATCCTAACCTCAAATCAATCTTAGAAAACACAGATGTGTCCCTCAATTGGTCAAATAATTCATCAATCCTTGGTAATGGGTACTTGTTCTTTATAGTGACTTTATTCAACTCTCTATAGTCAATACACAACCTCATACCCCCATCTTTCTTCTTAACAAACAACATTGGAGCTCCCCAAGGTGATGCACTTGGTCTAATATATCCTTTATTTAGCAAATCCTGCAGTTGATCCTTCAATTCACTCATTTCTGCAGGTGCCATTCGATATGGTGCCTTAGAAATTGGTGCTATTCCTGGGACCAATTATATAATAAAGTCGATTTCTCTCTTAGGTGGCATCCTTGGAATCTCCTCTGGAAACATATCTAGAAATTCATTCACTACTTCTATATTCTCTAACTTAGATGTTTCTTCATAATCCAAATTTCTTACACTACAGAAATACAATGGGTGCCCCCTTCTTGATGTACTTAGCCAACTTCAGCATAGAAATGATCCTTGCACTCTTTGGTTCCCCATGTCTCCAATGAGTTACCAATTCACCCTCAGATGTGCTTAACTATAACTTTTGTGATCGACAACGAATCTCTGCGTTATACTTGCTTAACTAATCCATTCCCAAGATGATATCAAAATCACTCAACTTAAACTCAATGAGATTAGATAAGAACTCCTTCACTTTTATATATAATAGCACATCCTTAAGGATTTTGGTAAATTGCACTACCCCTCCCGTAGGAATAACTATAGGTACATCTATAACATCTATGGTTTTCAAGCAATGCAATAGCTTTGGAACAATGACTTTAGAAATAAAAGAAAAAGCTGCATCAGAATCAAACAAAACTTTAACAGGAACAAAGTTAATAGAGAAAGTACGAGTAATCACATCCCTTGCTGCATTAGCTTCATACCTACTCATCACATTCAATTTTCCTAGAGCTCCTCCCTTCACTTGGTTATTCCCATTGTTGTTGTTGTTTACCCTATTCTGCTGTGGCCCTTTGTTTCCTACATAGCTATTGTTCCCTTGGAAGTTTCTTGGTGGATTCCTTCCTTTGTTGTTTCCTTGCTTGTTTTGGTTAGGATCCTTAGAGAAACACTCATATTCCCTATGGACTAACTTGTTGCAAACACGACATGTGACCAAATTACCCTCACAGTCTCTACCAGGGTGATCATTCCTACACCTCTTATAATAGTAATGTCTTGGTGCTTTGCTATTTCCCTGGTTAAAGTTCTTAGCTCCTCTATTAAAGTTTCGTCCACCCTAACGGTTGTTGTTGTTGAAATTACTGTTGTGAGTGAACTTTTGCTTCTTAAAATTATTCTGGTTACCCTAATGGTTCCCTGAACTTTGTCCCATATCTTTTCTCTGTTCCTTCCCTTTTATTTTAGCCAATTCCTTCTTTTTCTTCCACTCTAAAGTGTAGAGGTGTGCATCCCTTCCATAGACCTAATCCAAAGTATCAAACACCTGTCCACATAGCTTAAGTTGAAGATCAGTGGTCAATCCACTCTTAAACTTCCTAGCTTTTGCCTTTTTGTAGCAACAAATTCCTTAGCAAACCTTGACAACTCAATGAACTTCGTGTAATACTCAGTCACTGACATTTCCCCCATTGCTAAGTTAGAGAACTCTTTAGCTATTTGTTTCTGTAGAAAACTGGGGTAAAACTTATCCCTAACCTTCTCCTGAAACATAGTCCAATTAAAACCCGGCAGTTCCTTAATAGTTGCTTCATTTTCCTGCCACCAAAGATCATCCTCTCCCCGCAAATAGTAAGTAGCACAACTAACTTTCGAGGCTTCTAGGCATCCTACTTCCCCGAACAACTTTTCAAACTCTCTTAACCAATTCTCTAACACAGTAGGGTCAGGTTTCCCTTGGTGAGTTGGTGGTTTGCTTTGAGTAACCTTCTTGAATAGCTCACCCTGAGCATCACCATTAGCAGTTGAGTTTCTTGCCAATTGTTGAGCTACTGTAGCTAGTTGCCTCACCACTTCACCCAACTCATTCCCTCCATTGTTATTATCTCCACTACCTACTGCCATCTTACGTCTCCTGAATTAAAACAAGGGACCGCTTGTTAATTAAGGTCATGGTTAGCCCTCAAATTAAACACCCATCCTATTAACTTGCACCAGCATACATACACATTTAATTTAAACTACCAATTTGAGGTTGCAAAAATCACAACTCTCAATTTGTAGCTTCGTCAACACATTTTTTTATTGCTAATCAACCATTCATTTAATAAAGCATAGCAATAAAAATAAAATAATTCCCATGATTCCCAGAGTTTGAAATGGAAGATTTGGGTAATTGAGTAAGAATTGGATAAGTGGAGTGGTATGCTAAGAAATGAATTATTTGGCAACTAAATGGATTATTTGGCAAAGAAATGAATTATAAATTTTATTAATGGATAAAGAAATGACTGGAAATGAAATGAGTTGAATAACCTACGCAAAATCAATAGTTTTATTGGCTCACTATGGCCATGCCACTTATTACTCTACTAGAAACGAAATAACTATAAACTGCATAAATGAAATCTAGAAATCCTATGATGAAATGGAAATACAAAAATCTAATCCTTTCAGACATTATTCGACTTCTTTTTCGATTGTTTGTAGTTTCCAGGATCGAACTCGGGGTCATCGTCATCTTTCATAGGCTCAGGTGTCTCAGGTTCTTGTTTAACTTGAACAAACTCCTCATCCTCCTCATCATAAGAAAAAATGTAAATAATGATTGGTGATGGGGGTGGATTTGGATTAGGAATCTCCATGATGGAACTGTCTACAGAATGGTTGCTGTCTTCCATTAGTTCTCCTTGCTCTTATCCTCCATTTGCTTCTGGTTGGTGACCTTGTGATGGGGAAGTACTCCCAGATTGATGGCTTGAAGAAGGGTAATTATTCCCTGTTTGATTGTCTTGAGTATAATGATTTGGATATGGAATATGTAGGCGCTCACAATGATATTTTTCAACTTGAACAAGATAGGAAATCAAATATCAGTAATTATGTACCACTGTTCGTAGTAATCTCTATATTTGGAGTAGTTGGGAATGTCCCAGGCATATAGAAATCAAGCAAATTTTATTTTTACAGCAAAAATGGGGGTTCATCAGGAAGACAATGCACAATTAGAGCTGAAATACGATCAGGGGGATCCCATTGTTTATCCCCAAGGACATTACTCAGGTAGGAACAATAAAAACAGACTTTCTTGACATAGTTCAAGGGGTGTTCATAATCTTTCTTAATTAGTGTTATAATTTGCCAGTGTTTATTAGGAATAATCGGCATCCTGTAAAGGTAAAGGTTTAGCAAATAATTCCCTTTCCAAGAGAAAAATAATACAATACAGTTCTTGCATGTACTTAAGTTTAATGTTCAATCCTACAATTTTATTTAATTCTAACCACATAAAAACATGCTTCACACATTATTCACTTCACATGATCAAACATCACAACCTAAATAATTAATGGGAAAAATTGTTAGGAACTACTCGCTTAACAGGTCGATTTGTGAATAACTACCTGCTAAAAAGTTTTATAAAAAAAACTACCCCCAAATTTAAAAATTTTGGATAGCACTACCCATTTTCATTTTTCGACAACTAATTCTGGCAAGTGGAGCCCATTTATTTTTCCTCAAAAAAACATCATCACCCTTGTATATATAAACTAACTCTCCTCTTCTTTGCAAAAACTCAATCCAAAAAACCAAATTTTTGTGAAAACCAAATCGTTTTTCCTTCTTTAATTGGCGATTTTCACAAAGATTTGGATGTTTGGATTGAGTTTTTGTAAGGAAGAGTAAGGTTAGTTAATATATACGAGGGTCATGATGATTTTATGGAGGAAAAATAACGAATGGACCCCACTCGCCGGAATTAGTTGCCGGAAAATGAAAAAGGATAGTGCTACCTTAACGTTTTAAATTTGGGGGGTAGTTTTTTTTATAAAACTTTTTAGCGAGTAGTCGTTCACAAATTGACTAGTTAGGCAAGTAGTTCCTCACAAATTTTCCTAATTAATGCATACGAAAACATGGATAATTCTAACTTATATGCCCAAATTCTTTCCTACCCAAGCTCACAACATGCTTTAAAGCGTTTAACACATAATTCATACCTTAATCCTTCGCTTTCCTACAAAACAAACAAACTAAAAATATTTTTGAACTCCCCTTTTTATTCAAAATTTTCGAAAATAACTACTAAAATGGAGCAAAAAATTTTGCCCCAATAGTGTTTCGGGGGTTTTTGGAGTCCCTCAGGAGAGTTACAATTCTGGGAATGCACACCTAACGTCTGTACCTGCAAAACCACAAAACTCCGGTTGGGTGGAGTTCCGCCTCCGACGATCAAGTTAGTATGGTTCCGGATGGGTTAAAGTGCGGAAAGTAAATGGGTTTTTCTCCCTAATTTAGAGAGATTTCGCAATTAATATTGCTCGGTTTTTTGTATATATATTTATGGATGTGCAATAAATGAGGAGTTTCCTCTATTTATAGCAGATGAAGATCTGCTCCCCCATTAGGGTTACAATGCCACATGTCAGCACCCGATTGGATCCCATTGGGCCTTTGAAGGGCTGCCACGTGTCAGTGCGGTATAGGGCCACGTGGCATAGGGGGGGGGGTTTACCCCAAACATTTTCCCCTCACAGGTGTGACGTGGCTTGCCACGTGGCGCCTGTGACACGTGTCACATTCTGGGAAGGTGACGATTCTTCTCCTTCCCTCCATTTTTTTTTGAATTCGAATTTCGAATTTGAATTTGAGGGGGAGGTGACGGTTCGCCTTCTGCCCCCCCTTCTATAAATGGGAGGCTTCCTCCTCTCATTCCATACTTTACGAATTTTTACAAAAATTTCCTTAGAGAGAAAAAGCTCTAACACCAGCTGCTCTTGCGTTCAACCAGCTACTTTGATTTAAACACGCCCGGATACCGGTTGAGCATTTCTTTAATCCTCTCTAAGGTACCATCTGACTCAGTCTTTCTTCTTGATTGTAATAGCACAACAGCCGGTCTTACACCGTCTGGGGCACTTTTAAGCAATTTATTTCACAAATTGCATTCAATAGACCCACAGTCGGTAATATACCGCCTGGGGCATCTTCAAACAATCGTCTTCAAAAACTGCATTCCATAGACCCACAGGCGGAAATATTCCGTCTGGGGCATCTTCAAACAATTGTCTTCAAAGATTGCATTCAATAGAGCCATAGCCGGAAATATT